TTTTTCAGGGAATTACAAATTTAGAGATAAACGCAAAATACAGCAGTAAAATATCAGACAATACCATTTCACTTCATGACAAGTTTTGGGGACAATTCATTTTATCTTTACACTGCAAAATTGCTCATAATTCTTCAAGATGTTTCCTCTCCATCTCTTAAAAAGATAATGTGTAACTAGAAATTACCGAGACACCAGCAGGAGGATCGTGGTAACCAGTTAGAAGAGCAAATACATAGTTCTGACCATTATGACGGGCCTGAAAGAACAGTCGTAAGGTAGTTATATTTCGATAGAGACATAAATTTCTCATCTGATTTTCACATAATTAGAAGATATGAATACCTTGGTGATGAGACTCAAATCAGGAGGATAAGCTCCTCCATTAGCAAACCTAGCTGCTTGTTCATTTGCATATGGCTGAGGGAAACGATCGCTTAGCTTACCAGGGCGTGTAAACATTTCACCCTCATCGTTAGGCCCATCAACCACTTCAATTTCTGCTGCCATAGCCTTTGTTTCTTCTTCAGTGTATGCCACACCAACAAGATCACGATATGAGATTAGAGACATTGAATGGCAAGACGCACAGACTTCTTGGTATACCTGGTGACCTCGTCGAATCCTGTTCAGACATGGTTTTCAGATCTTTGAGTTGAGAGATTAGTTGGATGATATTGCCAATCAAGATATAGGAAGCTAGCATGACAGATGAGTACGTTGCAGTGCCTGTCAAGATGACATGTCATTTATAAAAGCTGTAAGGGAAACAAAACTCCCAGTAAAAACTACTCTAGACCTCAACCAGTACAATATTTTCCTAAAGATATTGTGGCATTTTCCACGAAATGGCAGCTGCACAATCAGTCAATCACACACACCCTAAACTTGTCTCTCCAGTATCAACAGTTTTGGTTGGACATGCAGGTTACTGACTTGATTGCTTAGCAGAATTGACACATTCAACTTACGAAGCATGGTCATATGAGCTGAGTATCCCTTTATGAGGCCAAGGATAGTTAGGAACTGCCAAACCATGTTCAGCCTTATCAGCAAGAGCTATTGTTCCAAAACTGAGAAGTCCTGAGATGCTTGCTCCAGAAGTGCAAGCTTTCTCAAATGACCAGTGCCTGTAGATCCAATCGTCTCTTGATCCTGCTTCATGGAGTGGGATGACAAAACTGGAAGGGTCTGAAAAGATTTTTACATCCAAATAAAAAATGGAATCAGGAATTTTTGCCCCGTAGAAGGAATCATAAATAAAACTTCACATTAATTTCAACCAATCCATTCTCCTTTCAGACTTTTCAATGGTTCACAATTAGAACAGAGTACCAGACATTTATATTTTTTTTGAAGGACCTTATAAATTTGCCACAACAAATTCTGAATGTTAAACCCAATTAGCCCACTAATTCTGTCAACTTTGGCAAAAAAAAAAGGCCAATGAACAACTACTAGAATGCATTTTATCACCATCTATTACTAAAATTTTGGAATCAACCACAAAAAAAAAAAAAAAAAAAAAAAACTGAATTTTGACAATTCAAAAAATAAGAAAGAAATTATAGGCAAGCAGATAAAACTATGAAACCACCTTAGCTTCCTCAATTCGCGCCGAGCAAACTGAGAAAGACAGCGAGCAAACTTTGCACGTCCTGGATCGATTTATTTATGATTTTATCAGTGAAATTCAAAACGTCAAAAAACAGAAATTCCAAAAGCATCAAACATCGGTTTCGAAAACGAACGAACTTAGCGTGCCTTCCGTCGCGGTTATGATATTCTTCGTTAAACCTGTAGATACAAACAACGATGGACGTTAAAATCGAAAGAACAGTACGCATTACAGAGGGAGAAAGGAAGAGGGATTACTCATTGTTGCCGGCGGCGAAGAGAGAGAATCCGGAAGTGGAGCGCAACGCAGATAGTGCAGGGTCGACGCAGGAGTGGGAAGTGAACGAAAGTAGGATGGGCGGGAGGGTGGTGACGCGTGTAAATCATCACCTTTGAAAATGAGCGGCTTAGAGAACTCCAGGTAATTAGGCCCAAAAAAAAGAAAAAGAAAAATGGAAATTCCAGGTAGTGGGCTTCGATTGGGGGCCTGTTGGGGCTACCATTCCAGATAGAGAACTAGTCGCCGGCTACTACTTTTATTGGGTTGGCCCAAAAAAATAACGCCTCCTCCCACTTCCTGTTTTGAGTGAATCTAATCCTCATTGCTTGTAATTAAGTCTAATAACTCCAACTTTGATCGATCTTGATGTGAATAGCCTCTTTTATTATTATTTTTTATCAATTTAAATTACAAAAAAAATATAATATAATTCAAACTATATTTAATATTGAAATAAGAGTGACAATTAGATAAGAATAAATTTCTTAATATTGAAAGTTATTCCTCCTCTTTAATAGTTCTTATTTTATAATTTAATATAATTTAAATTGTAAAACAAAACTTTCTTTATATTCTTTTACGTAGTAAACGTACCATAGACTGATTTGCAAAATGATGATGTCCTGCAAATTTGAAGCCAACTGCTCTGACTCATGAACTACTCTTCTGCGAACAAAAAATACACATTTTTAAAATAAAGGTAAAGTTCAACCCTTCAATTTATTAAAACACACTTTTAAATTTATTAAAATATTCTTGGTAAAGTTCTTTTTAATACTAATTTAGTATTTGATATTTCAATACCCAAACTGAACTTTTATCTTGCGCTCTTATTTAAAAAACATGAAACTCTAAAATTTATGCAGGTAAAAGCATTCATTTCTTTTACCAACCAAAAAAAAAGCATTCATTTCAGAAGGCTTCTTCCATATGAAGGGAGGAATTATTTCCAAGCTTTCACCTAGAGTATAAATCATGGGTCATACTACCTAAAATTTTTATTACAAACATTACGTACTATAATTTTTTAAAAATCTTTTGTTCGTAAGCATGTAGGAAATTTAGAGAATGACAGTTTCGGAAGAAAACAAAGAGAACGTGAAGACCCTAGGGAGAATTGAAATATTTGAGAGAAGCATGTAGGAAATTGTATTAATCATTAATCTTCAAACGAATGTCTAAGAAAGAAGCCAACATGCTGAAAGGGCGCAGATCGCATGACATGCATCAAATGAGTCAAGACATACCAAATCACGAAATCAAAAGTCGAGTAAAACTAGTCTGATCCTGCCTACACTTTCTCAATGAAACAATCATTTTCTTTAACTAAATTTCCTCGGTTTCCAGCAATTTTGGCCTCGGGACCTGGCGAAAGACAAGTATGGGGTTGCCACACCAGTGGGGGGTTGTGTCCCGTCATTTTCAGGATTCAAATGAAGCCTTCCTCAAAGGCCTAACTCCATGAACTGCTTGATAGCTTGAAGAATGACAGAATCTTTAAATATAACAGGAAGAACTTTGCATTAAGAACAAAGTTCACATAATCAGATTCTATTTTGCAGAAGGTGAATATACAACACGTGCTTAATTATCATGAGAACCATTTCATAAGACAGACAAAGCTCAAGGACGTTAGATAAACTTGTTCAAGAAACCAGTCCTTGAAGGCCTTTGAGAATAAGAAGCTGACTTCAATAGATGAGCTATATGCATCTATGAGATGAAATATATTCATCACCATGAAATCACCCAACATACAAAAAGTTATAAAACCCAGAAGAATTGAATGGATTGTTAAAGTCTGAGATTAGTAATTAAATGAACCAATATTAACAACGTCAGTATTAGCACCAGAAGTTACAAAACAAAAGAGCAATGGGTAAGATTCAGCAACAATTACCTTCTTATGTACCAACTCACCATGACCTTGAATACACGAAAGATATGTATCTTGCATGCAGCAAAACTCTCAGTTGAAGATAGATAACTTACCAAGTAGCAGAAGATATCAATTGAAGCAACTTCTTGTTTCATGACTGTCACTCAATAACAGTGAAAATCTTATCATCTAAAGGAACAACTTTAGACAATTTTCTCTTCAGAAAATTCTAGATAGAAATCACTTGGCATCATGGAGTACATTGCTTCAAAAGACAACAAACTGCTCATGATGCAAATAGGCAAAAAATAGAAGTTACCTTAATTGTGAATGTTCTTGTCATGCGTAGATCAACATGGTTCGGAGGGAACTGTAATTCATATGCATAGATCTTTTGTTCAACAGCATATTACTTGACCATACCCATGGAAAAGGAAGGGTAATGGAACTTGAAACCCACTGCAGGACTTTGAAGCATGAGTGTTGAACATGCATGGTTAGAGACAGATTTAATCACCAAAAGTTCAATGATTGGAATGTCACAATATAGATTAACAAGTTCTTCTAAATACTGAAGCATTTTAATTACACTAATTAATCATAAAATAGTTCCATTAGTGGATGTATCCAGTCATAGCTACCAGAATATCAGATATTATTAAAGACAAAATCCTTCTTTTAAGTTGTAATTGCAATCTATTTTATATTTGTGGGATAAGAATACGCTTTTCAATTTACACATTAGATCAGAAAGCAGCTAGCTTATCCAGAGGAAGTGACATAATAAACTTTATGTGGGGTTTGCCTGTTGCCATAATCAAGAATTGGAAAAAATAAAAATCATACCAACAGCAAGGACCAGGAGTTCCTTTAGTAGAAAAACTGCAGATGTTCTGCAATGGTCTGTGGCAAGAGGTGGCATCCCATCCTCATCTTCATACCTTTAGAAGAAAAGGTATGGCTGCCTCCAGCATTAGCAACGAGATATTCTGAGAAAGCATCAATAAATTCCTCAACATAAACCCATATATTTCCCAAAAAAAGTAAGTAAAAAATTAAAAATTTTGAGTTCCATCAATAATGAGAACAATTGGAGCAGTATATAGAATCAATAATGAAGGAACCTTAAACATGAGCAACAAAATCTAGTCTGGCCCTCAATACAGACACTGAATAACAATTTCCAGATAACAGGGCACAATAATGTATATCTGGTTAAAAACCATCTTGAGGGCTTATAAAACCTTTTGGAAGTAAGAGGTAAGAAAAACAATGAACATAACTTTTTTGGTAGTAGAACTGTCTTTAAATGCTAAGAAACAATTAACCTCACTAGAAGTAGAGGTAAATGTTGCTAAAATTTGGGGTACATACCATATACCATGTTAACATCCTCAAATAAAATGATCAGCAGTACATTGAACAAATGAACAGGAGATAAAAATAAAAAATTTAAGAATGAGGCACCCTTTCACTGGATTTTTACATAAAATCAGATTGTTAAGTTTGCATAACATTCGCATAATGGGAGAATAAAAGTAACCTAACAAAAATCTATTAACAACTAAGGGGAAGCTTACTATGAGCCAATTTCAAGTTCTCTAACTCACTTAAATGTTCATCATTTGATACATGGAGTGCACAACGTAAATTTGTAAGCTTTTCTTCTTCTTCCCAACTCAGAGGTCCAGAAGCATACAGTGCCCAAAGAGCACGACGGTAGGCATGTAGATCTGACCTATGGGTATCAGTTCTCAATTCCACATTTGAGGAACATGAACATGGTTCAACATATTCACGTCCACAATGTGATTCAGCATCACTAGAGTAGTCCTCTAAGTTTTCAAGACCGTTTGTTCTAATACAACTGGACAACCTATTAGAGATATTCCAACTACAACTACCAACAGATGATATACTGCTATCGGTATCAACAGTTAAAGAGGTTCCCATGTTAAGCCTATTATTTTCCCCAGCCAAGTCCACTCTAGTGCATATAGTAGTTCTATCATGAAAAGAAGCATGCATATCTTTTTTACCCAGTACCTTTTGCTGGGAAACAAATGCATCGACCTTTTCAGAAACTGGAGATGGATGCAGTACAAGGGATCTTTTACTGCTACTATCCTTTCCAATCAATCTAATCTTCTTAACAGGTACAGCAGGGACTTCAAATTCTGACAAACCAATAGAACAGCCTCCTCTTTTCTTCGGGGTTCTGGTGGAAATCATCAGGGACTTTTCAATTTCATCATCGACAAGAGATAGCTTCGTTCTTGTAGCTGTATTTCTTTTTCCCTATTGCATAATCAAAGAAAAATAACAATTAGCAATTTAGATTCATGAGAACTGATGAAAAGATCAATAACCGTAATGAAAAGAATCAAACTACATGCTTGCAAAATTAGAGAAAAAAAAAAAAAACGAAATTAACTGCAAAAAATATGGGATTATATAGAGTACCTCTCCAACCAGGAACCATCTACCGTCTTCCCAGCACTGTCGAACCCTCAGATGAGATCTTGGGACTCTGAATTCGACGGACGATCCAATAAGCCTAACAAAAAAGTTGTTTCCATCAACAACCTTAACCACCACCGCCGTTTTCCAATAAGGATTGTCAAACACCTCAACAAGATCGCCAGGGATCCAGTCCCTTGCCCCTTCCACAGGAGGCGGGCAGGGTCTAATAGCCTTCCTCGGAACCCTGTGCACCATCCCCTCGGTGGTAGTCGGAAACCAACCGTACTTTACGCTGTACGTGTGGCCGTTACCGGAGATGATCTCGGCACAAAGCCATGAACCAGCCGCCACCGCCTTGCTCAACACCTCCACCCTATTACCTTTTCTAAATCTCATGATCGCAAGCTTCTATGGTATGGGTACGTGAAGAAATCGAAAATCGAGAAGCCCTAAAAAATTCCGAACGCAATTCTTGTGAAAGATTGAAAATTTGGATTTCTGGCTCGCTTAGGGTCTTTATGTAGGGAGGATCTACGATCTACGAATTCGGTACGGATATGAGAATAATCGAACGGCCGTGAACAAACTGCTTGGAGATTAGGTAACTACCGATCTTTATTTCTTTTCTCTTTTTTTTTTTTCCTTTTTTTTTCTTTTTTTTCTTTTTAGTATATGCTAATGCAATTATAACTTAAATTATTAAATAAAATTATTAATA